GTTCGACGCTTGATTCTCTCTTTCGCTAATCTGACGGTGTACCCCGGTCGCCTTGCAGAACGGGTCCACGTTCGTATACTCCTTACCACCGTCCGTCCTAAGCACGTGAATTCGGCAATTAAACCTTTCCTCAAAATACACCAAGAAGTGCTCGAACTTCTTCGTTGTCTTAACCTTGTTCTTCGCCAGGAACACTTCTACGTAGTGTGTAGAATAGTCTACGAAGTTGATCAAATATCTATTCCCCCGTATGTCCTTCGGCGTCATAGGTCCTTTGATATCGCTTCCAATGACACCCCCAATCTTGTCGATAGGGGCATTCGCTCCTGTGTCCTTCTTCGACCGATTATTCCTGCTCTGCTTTCCTTGTGCACACGTTAGACAGTTGAGACGTGATCTGCTCGTCAGTCGAATCCCTGATCCTCTCGTGTCCGCCATTCGCTCTACTGTGTCATACGAGATGTGCCCAAGTCTCTTGTGTAGTATCAATAGTGTCGTTTCAGTCACTATATCGTCCAGCAACGCTACTGCTTCCTTCAGTGGGCTCATTACTGCATGTATTCGTGCCTTTCTGTCAGATTCTCCCATGGCGTCAATCATCAACACATTATGGCGTCTGTAAACCTCGAGAACACGCAATCCACTTTTCTGCTGTACCATGTAGCTCCTGCCGTCATGGCGCTCCAGGTACACGCCCTTCATCTCCAGTCTACCGTAACACATGCTATTATCGGCCAGATTCTCCGGATAGTGAACGTCCGATATGTTCACCACGATTGTCCTGAGCTCTACTGTTCCCTTCTTGATGACGCGGATGTTCTCCATTTGCTGCCCTTTAATGCTCGTCACAGTCAATTGCATCTCTCAGCAAACTTGCTGTCTTCACTAAGTGCACACTGGATCCACTGTCGAGAATCATACATGTGTGTCGTCGCTTGTGCCTGTCCCTATCGCTAGTGAAACCTTGGTCTTGTTGGCACCATTGTTCCTCGTCTTCTCTGGCCAATTTCTCGCTATATGCCCAGCTTCATCACAAATAAAGCACGTACGAGTATCTGCACCACCGACACGCGCGACTGACTCAGTTCCGTGTTTGTCTTTGTTTCCCTGACCACCACCTTGGTACCGACCACCATGTCCTCGATTATCTCGACCTCCATGTCCTCGGGACTGGTCGCGTTTGGCAATACTCGCCTCATACTCAACAGCAAACGCCACTAACTCCGTAGCTTGCTGTAAATGATCCATGCGTTGAGAATTCATTCTCGTCAGCATTGCACCTCGTAGATACACAGGCGCCGACTTGCACAAGCACTGTAAGACGTGTAGATCAGAGCACCCTGACCGCTCTGCTATATATGTGAGGTATTGAAAGTGCTCAACCCATGTTCTATCGCGAAGCTTGTCTGCAGTCATCAACTGCAGCCCTTTAGATGCCGTGATCGTCGTCATGTACGGCGCTAGCATGCGATTCATGACATACTCTATAGGGGTAAATGTATCTCTTTAACTATCTAGCATAGTTAAACCTAATCAAATGCATAACGTGTGGCTTTCAGCCAACGTACTGAGAGACCTTGTTAACTCTCCAACTTATGTACTGAGAGTTTGTTAACTCTCCGGGTACTTCGTACCCCTGTGTGTTCCACACCATGTAACCCCGTTACACTCTCCCTCACTAAGATGAGAACATACCGTTCTCGAACTTTCCTCAGCGAGGTCACGTCCTGTCAAGACGACGGAGGTCACTAGACCTCACCTCTGCGTTCTTATAGCGGCAGAAAATGATGGGGCTAGCTAATCCGAAAAAATTATTATCTTTGGATACTCGGCGATAACTTCACCAAAATAGCCTTAAATTAAGTGCAAAGGGCGCGGATAGAAAGCTGAGGTTTCGTAGTTCCTTCTTCCATAAATTAAGACTCTTCATCTCTTTCATTTCAGGAAGCGCAGTGCAACGCAGACACCAGCTCAGTCCGGGCGAGAAAACCCTAGTTTGCAATGCTTATGGTTATTTCGTCGCCGAGGCCAAAGCAGGCAGAAGTGGAGGGTGGGACTCGCGCGATCGAACTAAAGAGGCGACGTGCCTTGGGAAAAGCACAGTTTTTCGGGTGCTCTGGGCATGGAACCTCGACCCAGACACCAATTTCGCCGAGGTGCGCTTGTCGTTTTGGCCCATGTAGGGTTAAAACTGCTCTGTTGTGATATCATATGAAAATCTTACAATTTTATGCTTTCGCTAGTAGAATGTACCATCCACAAGAAGCTCATGAGGAAGATGGTGGGTAATCACTCTTTAAATATATACAAATCCTTCTTTTTAAATTTGAGCGTTTTATTTTTAACGCCTGTTTGTACAACTGTTTTGCCCTTTCCACACTCTTGACCAATAGAATATCAGCATTATAGCAACTGTTTCCCCGTTTAAAGGTCCGTGGAGACACCTTTTTGGGGAGCCTGTAGCGACAAAACTACTGCGAATTAGCCGGTTTTAACACCAAAATCATACTCAAAATGGGCGGTTTTATCACATATCTAAATGTCATATCTGGTTTTATCAAAATTGAGCCCCCCATGGGGATTTGATTACTAGCCCCTTCATTTTCTGCCGCTATAATAGCGTGGGTGATTCTGCCGTCCAGATCGGCAACTTCCTCTCAAAATATACCAGTGCAGCTCCATCCAGCTTTCCATTCAGTGCGAGAATTCGAAAGTCCTCTGATCAATCCCCGCCGCTCATCTGTTGCGCTGCTGCAAGTCTCTGCAAGAACCTTAGTCCCCATGTCTTAAAATCCGCCCCAAGACCAGGATACACTTCTTTCCTCGTGAACTTCATGAAGACCGGCCAGTCCAGGTCACGTGGCTTCGGCACTTTGATCCCGAAGCTCGGAAGGGGTACAAACTGCTGCGCCGTGGGTTCGGTCATTGGCCGCTGCATGTTCGTCGTGTTTTCTGTCTGTGGCATCGCCAGCTCAGGTGCTTGTACCACTTGGGCTGGCGCTCTCATTGAGGTGTCTAGGGATCCTACCCTCGTGCGTTGAGCTTGAGCTTTGATGAAGTCCGTAAACGCGCTCGACTCGCCATACTTGTACTCGGAAGATGGTGTCTGCTGCTGCAGTTGCTATTGGATCTCGGCTTGATTCGCCATGAACTGTGCTTGCTGCTTAGCCATACCTTCGAGGAGTCCTTCCAGCCTATCCAGACGCTCTGAGCTTGCGCTAGCGTTCCGGCTTCCCCGTCCAGGGGCGTCGGACGCGTCTGAGTCAGAACGCGCCCCTTCAAACAGCTTGAACGGGTCTGCAACCACGTTCAACCCGTGAACGTCGGTGTCGTGATCATCCCGCGGGTTTAATCGTTGTGAGGTCTCGTCAGAACCACTTGGGCTCATAACCTGTTGTTTGCTTGCGCTCTGCGTGGTAGATTGAAGACTGATTGTATTTAATGGTTATGTAGTATGCATTCTCCTTCTCTGTAGGAGTTTCCTAACTGCTTTCTCCTCTTCTCACTTGATCGCCACCCCACTCACACTGCGATGCTTCGATATCTCACACTGCGACGCCTCAAGGTCTCCTCGATCCCATGGTGGATATCTTGCGTGTTCCGACACATGACTGTAGGCGTACGCTGGCATATATCGCTCGAGTAGACGTGCGAGTCGACGGTTGGTGTAGGTGGGGATGCGCGGGATGCTTCAACAACAGACAAACGAAGCAAATATGATCTAAATTTCCTCGGGTAGCGATGAGCCCAAGGCACTCGAATTTGTACCGCCTTTCCACGGACGTTTCGCAGATGGCAACGATTCAACACGTTCTTAATCAATTTACACCCGTAAGAAAGCGGTGGATGCTGTGCAACGATGTCCCAGATGAGACTGTAGTGATCGCGCAGCACGCCACATCAGCGGCACGTAGTACATAACATATTACCGGTATAGCTCTTCGGTAGGGAAGCGGATTCCTACAAAAGTTGATATCACTTTTCCACGAGATCAACATTATATCAAATCTGTTTCGTTTGATTCGTTATTCCGACGAAGCTTTTCCGTTTTAGGGTCTGTAAAGGAAAATGTTTAACCCCTCTGTTACCGTAAAATGAGCCCGTGAACCACTAATTTTACGTCATAACTTACGGCGTAGCTTTTACCAGCGCGTTTATATGGTGCTGTATCTTCCACTTGCCTATCCAAAACGATGGGAGGTATACGTTCTCAAAGGTTTTGACACACTACGTCGTATATCATACGACGTAAGGATGACCCAAACGACACGGACACCGACACTTACGACTTTGTAAGAGTGAACATAAAAATTAAAACGGGAAGACGCAAGCGAATGCACACATAGAGCAGGGCTTTTCGATGACTGACATGCTAAAAGAGGAACAGACACAGAGCATATGGTAAAGGACGTCACATTTATGAAGCAATGAACACACTCATCGTCAGGGGGGATAGCTAAGGAGGGCCTCCAGCTGGGAGGTCCCTCACATAAAAATAAACAAAAACAGAATAAAAATATTCTTTTCGTCGACAACGGCAAAAAATAGATTTGCCGCTGCCGACGAAAACAACTGTTATTTTAATTACGGCAAATCCATTTTTTGGCAGTTACCGACAGAAAAAGCAACAACTATTTATAAAGAAACAACAGTATCCTTAGTTGTCCTCATCGTCTGGCGCTCCTTCGCATTCACGGTTCGGCCTCCTCGTCAGCACCCTCATTGTCTTCGCGGAGAATCTCACGACGAGTCTTCTTGCGGACGCCGACGGTTTTGGGAGCGCGGCGCAGCACGACTCGCTTGCCAAGGTGTGCTGGGATCCTGTCACCGCACGCGAAGTCCTCGTGCCACACTTGGAAGCAAGTCTTGTCGCCACCTCTGCGCGCCTTGCCACACAGGTAGAACTTGGCGTCGCCGTTGGAGCAGTCCGGGCAGTAGTAGGTCGTCTGGAACGACTTTTTGAGCTCGCCTTGAAACAGCGAGCACACCTTGCACGACCGCTGACGCCTCTTCTGGATGCCGCCCCTCACAGTCACCCAGTCGTTGAACTGCACGAGCGTGTGCCCGGAGAATGCAGGGCGCCGTCGCTTGCGTGCTGCTGGCGACGGAGTGGGGGCTGCCATGAAGTCTTCGTCCTTGAGCTGTAGCAGCTGCTTGTGCAGCATGCTCAACCACTCGTATCGCTTCATGGGCGTCTCGCCGGCGAGCCGACTGGCCTCTTTATGCGTGAGGTACGCGTTGACGAGCGCCAGGTCCAGTAGTCCGAGGAATAGACTCTTATAATACTTCCGGAACCCGAAGGAGAGCTGGATGGAGGAGGACTGGAGGCGGAGCTGGTCATGCACGTCGACTCCTCCCATCCAGCGCTGGTAATCCGTCACCAGCCTCGGGTACTTGAGCATCGAAGTCCCGAGCCCCTTCAGGTTCCGCTGGATCCTGTCCTCTGCCATGGACACACCTGTCGCGAGGTAGTGGACCGGCTTCCGGTCCCACCAGAGGCATGAAACCATGGTCGGCACTGCCGTCGATCTTGCGAACTTGAAGGATCCACGTTCGATGCGCCTTGGTCGCGTCTTATGCTTCGCTACGACGTCGCGGTTGAAGCCCAGGCGGTTCGTCATGATCGTACCGATCACGTAGATTGACATAGAGAGAAGCTGGATGGCGAGGGTTACGGACGAATAGAAGCGGTCGATGACCACAACCCGGAAGCCACGATGCCCAGCTAGAACAGTGCTCAGGTTGCGGATGACTGCCGCAGCGCCCGTCTTACGGTCATATGCCTGCGCAGCAGACTCGCTGGCTTGGCGTTTTCCAACATAGATCTCAAACCTGAAAGATACGACATTGAGAGCACGGTCAAAATCATAAAGTCATAAATTACGACCTAGCAAATCAACCAAAAAAACATTCGTCGCTTACCGGTGGCAGTACGCAGTCAACGAGTCGCATGTCATAAACATATTGGTCCCGTTGCGGTGAGGCTTGTCTGGCATGAACATCCTGGTCGTGTTGCGTCTGGATGTCGCCGGCAAGACACCTTTGTCAAACGAGATGATGTTCGGCGGCTTCCACGCGCTCAGGAACCGTTTCTGCAGTACATCAACAACGTCACGGATCTTCCACAGCTTGTCTTGACGGTTCGGGTTGTCATTGTTCGCGAAGTGTAGATCGCGCAGGATCGACGTGCAGCGGTTCCGGCTCATGTACTTGCCGAACGCACCTGCACTCAAAGCACCATCGTCATTCATTGTGCTGCGAAAAGCGTCGGGTGGGGCTCAACATATGAGCCACGAGAAGCCCAATAACGCACAAGATCTCGCGCGGTGAGTAGTCGTTCTCCCGACGAATACGGCGTCGAAGTTCACGAAGTGTACGCATGTTCTCCGTTCTGGACGTCCGCGATCGTTCATAACGCGCTCGATGGTCCACCGTCTGCCTTTTCATCCGGTTCGTCTCTTTGGTGATCCGCATCCACAGGCTCTTCGGTAGGAAATAAAACAGCAATTCAACTGGATCGCGTGGTACAACTGGTCCTCCAGCGTCGTCACCCTCGCTGGCGTCTCTCGGCTCCTCTACCGTGTCGTCCTCAGAGTCTAGGTCGGGCTCCGTCTCCGAGATCAGCCGCTGGAAAGCTCAAATCACGACACTCTGGTCTGAGTCATGCACCGCGTCAGCACGTAGCGGGGGTAGCCCGAAAGCTCTCCCAACCGCGTTCTGCGACAACGCAGGTGTGCCATCGTCCTCGCTGTCACTTACGAACAGCGCGTCGACTGTGTTGGCCGAGAGGGCCACATTGCAATCAATCTGCGACGCTCGCACCATATCTCCATCACCGCTGTCGCCCCCACCGCTCCCAGCTTCACCGCCGCCACCGCTCTCAGCTTCACCGCCCCCACCGCTCTTGCCCTCACCGTTATCTCCACTCTCCTCGCCACCGCTGTTGTCCTCTTCATCCTGAATCAGTCCGGTTGCAATCGCGTGCTCCACCACCGCTCTCTCACCTACCACAAACCAAATTAGAAATGACGCATAGTAATACTGCAATAGCACATCATACCGTAGAGCACAATCTCGCCTTCTGCAGGAACCTCGCTGGACGTCTGACGTACGCCCAATCGTTGACAGTCCGGTGGGAGGCTTCGACCGCCACCCCGCGGCCTTGAGCTGGCGCACAGGTGGCCGAAGTCTACCAGGCGCGGATCCAGGGCGGGCGTTGACACCGACGCTTGAGCCTCAGCTTTGGTCCTTGCGCTTACAGAGACCGGCATTTTGCTTACGTCTCAGCCGGCAAAATCTCGAATGGCTGAGAGTGCCCGAAGACTTCTGGCCACTCATCAAATGATGATTGTTGGAAAGGTCCACTTGAACCCTATCCCTCGTACTGTCTTTGTGTGTGCAGCAAAAACCTCTCCAGCCTTATATCCGATCGGCCCCAAATTTGATTTGATTTCAGTATCAGGTCGCCGTTTCCGAGCCAACTCCTATATGAAGAAAACACTATGTCGTAAGTTACGACGTACAATTTGGACTATGTCATAACTTATGACGTTGGTAACAGGGGGGTTAAAGCTTAGAGCTTTTCCCAAAACCAGTACCATATGTGAGCTCAAATCCCGGAATCAGTACCTTTCCCAAAACCAGTACCAGTACCAAAACAAAATTAAAGTGGACCACTTTTGTTTTGTTTTGTGCCGGCGTGTGAACGTACGTTGAGAGCACTATTTGTACTAGTTCCACTGGAACATCTAGCCAACGGGCCTGAACATCGTGTGGGTGGACACTGATCTGCCTATAATCGCACTGCACAAGTAAACCATGACGGTAATACGTCGTCCCTTTACAGTGTGCTGACGGATGTGGTGGGGAAGGTACCAGAATGATGTCGCTCCATACAGCGCCTGCACTCGACTACTTCGCTGAGGACATAGATATGTGGGTCCAGCTATTTGACTCGAACGACGCGTTTTTGAACTATATCAAGAGTGACAACTACGGAGACAATTTCGAGAGCCTGAAGGAAGTCTTATCTTGCTATGCCATTGCCACTGTGGACTGAAACTTCGAAAATAAAGACTTTACTAATCTCACTTTGGTGAACGTGTCGTTAGCAATTTACAGATTCCTGTCAAAATAGAGCTGACAATTGTAGTTTTGTTTAATTTTCAGCGATTTATAATCGAATGGTCTGACAGATTTAATTTAGTGGAGAGGTGGGATATAAACATTGTAGGTTACGTTTGCTTTTATTACTTCGGAGTACTAATTAATTAAGAAATCTACTGACATGCGACTTGAATTTCCTGTGGCTTGAGATGTAGAAGGTTCTTCTGCAGGTAATGCTGCCGCAGTGCTCACTTGACGACCGGAAATGATATCACGTAAATTTGGGAGGGATACCGCATGCGGTATCAATTGTGAGTTAGCTAAATCCGAATCATTACTGTGCCTTATGTACGTCCGTTGGTTATGGCCAGTTGCACTACACGTTTTACACTTGTAGGTTTTCCCTATACTGTCCTCACCACGACTCGCAATACGTCGGGTAACACGGCGCCCGGCTTGCTTGTAAAATTGTTAAGGAAGTACAATGGTTCTACATAGTAATGTTGGTGTGGCGAACAGGTAATTCAATCCCTTTCCCGGAAAAGGCATCCGCATTTGTCGAAACCAAATAACCTGGATGAAAAGCATGAGTCATAGTAGATGCCTAACGAATTTGATAAGGTCGTAAAATTTACAAATGCTTGGGAATCGCAAAAAATCGTCTTACTCCAAAACGTGTCTTACTCCAAAAAGTGTCGTACTCCAAAAAATGTCTTACTCCACATTGGTTCTCTGTCGAGCCGATCGCCTTACACGCCGGTCCATCGACACATGGTTGTATTCTGCGAACCATCGTTCGGTTCACTCCTGTGGACCCTGAGACCAGTCTGAGAGACATTGAAGAGATGGCGGATGTCATCATCTCGGGCTACAAGCGCGACTCGGTGAGGGTCGTCATGGCGGTGAGAGAGCAATTGGCAGCCTTAGCCGCGTCGAGAAATTCACCAATATAAAAGAAAAATTACACGTGCATTTTAAGACGAAGTAGTAAGCTACTGAACAATCGTGCATGTGTCACTTGTGGCAGAAACGCCATGCTTCGAGAGCAAAAATGCTAAGCTGTACACTGTACAGCAGTAGTGTACAACAATCAATTACAGCCCAGAATAGCACCCTACCAGGTTGCCTGGTAGGGTGGTCCAGGTATCGGATACTGTTTGCTCTTCTCTGTAGAAGCATTCGAACGCATACAATTCGATCAGCGAAATAGGCTGGCGCGATGCAGATACATGTTAATACGTTTGATACGTCTGGGTGAGGCCACTTGATTCCGACACATGGCAGGATTCGCCTTCGTGCAGGGGCTTTGTTGACTCATCCTTCTATCAACGTCCCCCCTGTAACAGGGGGGAATGGTAACTTCAAAATCGG